AGGAGGAGGAGGAGGAGGAGGAGGAGGAGGAGGCGGCGGCGGCGGTGGTGGTGGCGGTGGCGGCAAGCAGTAAGTCAGAGGAGCACTCATCCTGCCATAGCTGTCCTTCAAACATTCTAGTAAAACATACTCTGGGTCTCCATCACCTAAAACAAATCCCTTTCTTGTTTCTAGCAACAGAAGTCTCTTGTTCCCTGTCACATGATCAGTTCCTCTTGTAAGTAAATATCGTACCTGGCCTGGTATAATGGGCACCTATTCAGAAATTAATTAGTGGCCATCTAAAGCCTTTCCAAGCTACAATCAGATGCTAAGCTCCCAGCAATCAGCACTCAAACCCCACGTTCTTCGCAAGTTTCCCTGGTCTTCTGCATGATTACTGTTATTACTGCAATCTAGTCCGAAATTAGCAAATCCTCATCTGTGCCTTTTTTTTTTTAAATAAGCCAGGCACTAGTGGCTCACACCTATAAACCTGATCTGAGTGAGGATCGTGGGTTAAAGCCAGTGCAGCCAGGAAAGTCTGTAAGACTTTTATCTCCAATTAACCAGCAAAAAGCTGGAAGAGCAGCTGTGGCTCAAGTGGAAGAGTGCCAGCCTTGAGTGAAATAGCTCAGGGACAGAGCTCAGGCCCTAAGTTCAGTGCAAATACTAGCACTAAATAAGAAAATAGTGGGGCTGGGAAGGTGGCTCAGTGGTAGAGTGCTTGCCTTGCATGCCTTAGGCCCTGGGTTCAATTCCTCAGCACCACATAAGCAAAAAGAAAAAAGCCGGAAGTGGCGCTATGGCTCAAGTGGTAGAGCGCTAGCCTTGAACTGAAGAGCTGGGGGACAACACCCAGGCCCAGAGTTCAGGCCCCACAACCAGACCCAAAAAATAAAAAAAAGAAAATAGTAAACAAACCAAGCACTGGTGGCTCATGCCTGTTATCCTAGCTACTAAGAAGGCTGAGATCTGAGGATCCTGGTTCAAAGCCAGCCCAGGCAGGAAAATCCAGGAGACTCTTATCTCCAATTAACCACCAGAAAACCGGAAGTGGTACTGCGGCTCAAGTGGTAGAGCGCTCATCTTGAGCTGAAGAGCTCAGGGAAAGCTGAGAGCCAATTACACCTGTAATCCTAGCTACTCTGGGGGCTGAGATCTGAGGACTGCGGTTCAAAGCCAGCCCAGGCAGGACAGGCCGTGAGACTTTTATCTCCAATAAACCACTCAAAGACCAGAAGTGGTGCTATGGCTCAAGTGGTAGAGAGAGCACTACTAGCCTTGAGCTGAAGAGCTGAGGGACAGCACCAAGCCCAGAGTTCAAGCCCCATGACCGACAAAAAAAAAGTAAATAAATAAAAATAAAGTCTCAGATTATCATTATTATATTATCTCCTATACCACCCTGAAGTACAATAGCCCAACACTGGCAAGCTCACTCAGCCAATCTCTCCTTCAGCCCTATTTATCTCCATGTAACAACTCAATACAGAAGTATAGAAAAAAAAAAAGGCTTCCTAAGCTTTTACACTCAGGAAAATTCAACCTTTTTCTCTCTGAAAGGATCATTGCCTTTGTGTGTGTGTGGGGGGGGTGGTGGTGGTAGTTCCAGGGGTTTGCAAGTCCCAACCCATGAAGCACACTCCAATCCTAGACATTCCAACTGGAAGTTCTGTTCCCCATTTCCCCACCTGGCTTCCTCCTGTCCCCAGCATGCAGCTCTCCCTCCCCTGTCATCTCAGCCAGGCATCGCTGCACCCCATCTTCCCAGGGCCTCGTTAGATGACTCTCAACCAGAGCGCATAGGCACCGTCAGATCTGCCCCTGTCCGTCCACCTGGGGCGGAGTGCAGGTGTCTCCTGTCACTGAGCTGGCCGCTCTCTCTGCTCTGTCATTTCTGGCACACAAGGACTTGTTCTCCACCCAGGCTTTTTTCTATCTGCTTATGACGCCCCTGTGCTGTGTTGGATGTGGTCTCCACCAGCTACATGAGGCCCCTGATCTGAAATGGGGCTAGTCCAAAGTGAGATGTTCAAGGAGTGTGAACTTCATAATGGATGTGGAAGGCTGGGTAAGGATAGAGAAGATGAAATGCCACCCTGAAATGTTTATATGGGTGGGGTGGGATTGGATGGGTGGATGGATAGGTGGATGGATGGGTAGATGAATAGGTAGATAGATGGGTGGATGGATGGATGGGTGGATGGATAGGTAGATAGATGGGTGGGTGGATGGATGATGGATGGATAGATAGGTGGATGGATAGGTAGATGGGTGGATGGATAGGTAGATGGATGGGTGGATGGAGGGGTGGATGGAGAGGTGGATGGATAAGTAAATGGATGGATGGGTAGATGGATGGCAGGTTCGTGGGGAAACTCGAGTCACGGACACGCCCTCTGCCGGTCCCTGTCACCCCCAGACGTTTCCTGTGAAGCCTGCCTTCCACTCTGTAACACCACTACATGGCTGGCTCCGTATCTTCCCAGCCTGAGGGGTGACCTTTATCCCGCAGTTCTAAAAAC